TTCTGGGCTGTCGCTGAGAAACAGTTTGAGCTTCGTCCCTCCAAAAACTTTCTACAGGGTTTAGGTCTGGAGACTGGCTGGGCCACTCCAGAACCTTGATCTGCTTCTTACGGAGCCACTCCTTGGTTCTCCTGGCTGTGTGCTTCAGGTCATCGTCATGTTGGAAGACACAGCCACGACCATCTTCAATGCTCTAACTGAGGTGAGGACTCAGCCCAGAACTACACGGGAGGAGCTGGTCAGTGACCTGAAGAGAGCTGGCACCACTGTTTCCAAGGTTACTGTGGGTAATACACCAAGACGTCATAGTTTAAAATCATGCATGGCACGGAAGGTTCCCCTGCTTAAATCGGCACACGTCCAGGCCCGTCTTATTCGTTCGTTCAACCTTTTATTTAAACAGATAATTCACACTGAGCCTCAAAGACTCATTTACAATTGAGACCTTTTTGGACAGACAAAAACGGTGGTTAAATGGACACATGTTGGAGGCGAAAAAAAATCCTATCACTTTTTTTTTTTTTCCTGCCTGAGAAAAAACCCTCTAATATTAAAAAAAAAAAAAAAAAAAAAAAAACTTGCACAAACAGCACTTAGTAACATAGACATTCTGCAGACGGCAATGTTCGTAGATGCTCTTGAGGTCACTGTAAGAGTTCTGATAAGGATGGAATAATCAGCCAATATCCTCCGGTGAGATCCATAAACATTCGAGGTATGTCGAGGAATGGCCAAGAATAACGTCTATGAGAATCCAAGAGTCCTGAAATGATGACACAAGTTTATTCAGCTGGTTTCATCTGGTTATCAGTTGGAAATTCCTCAGGGAGGGGGTGGTGAGCGTCAGATCACATTTTCTCCAGGCAAATTCAGATGAGATGGCCTTCAAGACCAGCCAAGGGAGCCAAATTCAGATAAACACACGGTTGGTTTGGGGACAGGCAGAACTTCATGACATCTACCTTGAGTCTGTGTTGGTAGGCACGTTCCATCGGTGTGGCCATATTATTTTGGACATTTCGGAACAGAGTCAGAGTAAAATCCATCAAAGATCTGATCCATTCAGCCCAAAGCATTTGAGTCTGGATACTCGAGACAAGAACCAAGCCATCATAAAGGCAAGCAGCGTGATCGGGTCCAAATTTGCTGCCGACAACTTCCTTGATTGTAGATAAAACCAGCAACCAGCCAAATCCAAAAAGCAGGAACCAGTTTTTGAAAATCCAATTAGATATGCGTCCTTAAAATCCACAGATGACAGCAGAGAGACACATCATCAAGTCTTCCAGTCGATGAGCTGCGTACTTGCCAACAGGGCAAATCGGCTCACCTAAAGCCTGTCTTCTCTTCAAAGAAATGTTAATTGAGTTGAGGGACCCACTGATCAAAATGTCCATAATTATGGTTCAGAAGATGTGCTTGAGAGGCTCACAAGCAGTTTCACAGACAGCAGCAAAGCGGAGAGGGAGGGGAGAAGCATCCAATCCTGGCAAGAGCAAGTGGTGAACTGCTGAAATCAGGACACGCCCAGGCCCGTCTTAAGTTTGTCCATGACCATTTGGATGATCCAGAGGAGTCATGGGAGAAAGTTCTGTGGTCACATGAGACCAAAATAGAACTTTCTGGTCTTAATTCCACTCGCCGTGTTTGGAGGACGAAGAATGATGAGTACCATCCCTACTGTGAAGCATGGGGGTGGAAGCATCATGATTTGAAGGTGTTTTTCTGCACGTGGGACAGGACGACTGCACTGTATTAAGGAGAGGATGACCGGGGCCATGGATTGAGATTTTGGGGAACAACGTCCTCACCTTTAGTGATGGGTCCAGCAATACCAATGTGTCGGCGCATGCGTCAAGCTCGTAGAGCAAAACCCGTGACGGTGCACGTATCGTTATTAGAAAGTCACATGACCGATACAGGAGCCGTTTCGAACAGACACTGACGCGCCAAACTGTTTATAAGGAAACGTCTGTCAACGGGAGGCATCTGCCAAAAGAAGCTTTGATCTTTTGCCAGTCGTTAAATTTATCAAGAATTATGAAGGAGCTTCAAAACCAAAACAAAAAAGGTTTCTGTCGTGTGAGACCATTTTGATACATCGCCATTTGATTTAATTTTTGTTTTAAATTTTTTAAACATGCTGGCGCAAATTATTGTGCATGTCGGCTCGAGCAATAAAAAAAGTCCTGTTAAGCTTCAGATGGATCAGCTGATCATTACCGGCCGTCTCCGCACCTTCTGTCATCTGTGGTGAAGGAAGTAGGAGCATCACATGGCCGGTTCTAGGCATGGTTACATGAGGGGGCAGGTGGAAATGTGAAGGGGGCATCTTCATCCACACATATTACAGCATAGTCATCGTTTATCATGGACTTTGATTTTCATCGTTATTGACTCGTGTTTTCTTCATGGGATTGAGGTAAAAAGCTGAAATGTTTACACCTACGAGTCAACATTTTCAACCATGAACACTATCAAGCAAAACCAGAGAAACCCACTGACCCATGCTCATCTTGAATGTCTCTGTGGCTGCAACAACAAATACAACATGAAGTCAAGGACACGCACCACAGCTTCTCATCTCAGCACTAATGTACATTTTGTTTAAACAGATCATGTGTCGACTGAGTTTCTTTTTTGTTCATTTTTTCTTTGAGTGACTTGGGATGATATGGCAGCTCTCCCCTTTGATCTGTCAATAAGGCTATTTTGAAATAAATAAAATAAAATCGTGAGGATCACTGCATCATAGGGCCAGGCATGAGAATGAAGTCCCAGATACATCCAGGGTAAACTTGGGTATAGAGCCATTCTACAACTTTGCTTTAATAATTATTTCCTATTAATTTATTCTTTATTTCATTTCTAACCATCAAGCTTCCAGGAAGAAGATGCTGGATGAGGCTTTGCTGAATTTCATCCTGCAGGACTGCCAGCCCCTCAGCTTATTTACAACTTGTTTAAAGAAAAAAATAATAAATAATTTTAGTCCACAAACATCCTCATTCATAACGCGTTATATTTTTACATTCCAATACATGTTCGCATTATTTATTGACTGTATAATCTAAATATATTTTAAAATTAAATGAATATATGAAATAATACAATATAAAATTCAATGACTTAAATTATATTATTGTATCTATGGCATCAAATCAGTATCAGCTGAGTGTCAACTAGGTTGCCTGTAGGGATCTTTAAGTTCCAGCAGGTATCAGTACTCGTTGACACAGTATCAATACGCGCTTCATGACGCCTCATCACTACTCACCTTTCTTAGGATCACTGATACGCCACCAGGTGAGATCTTGCATGGAGCCCCAGTCCGAGGGAGATTGACCGTCGTGTTTAGCTTCTTCCATTTTCTAATAATTGCTCCAACAGTTGATCTTTTTTCACCAAGCTGCTTGGCAGTTGCCCCGTAGCTCTTTCCATCCTCGTGGAGGTCTACAATTTTGTCTCTGGTGTCTTTGGACAGCTCTTTGGTCTCAGCCATGTTAGTAGTTGGAGTCTCACTGATTGTGTGGGGTGGACAGGTGTCTTTATGCAGCTAACGAGCTCAAACAGGTGTTTCTAATTTAGAATAAGAAGTGGAGGTGGACCAACAGGTGTTTGAGGACCAGAACTGATGCTGATTGGCAGCTGTTCAAATACTTATTTGCAGCAGTAACACAAATAAATGATTGAAAAATCTTACATTGAGATTTCTGGATTTTTTTTAGTGGACATGCACCTAAGATGAACATTTCAGACCCTCCATGATTTCTAAAGTGGGAGAACTTTCAAAGTTGCAGGGTGTTCAAATACTTATTGTCCTCACTGTACACGCTTCGAGCGTCTCTTTATTGCAGTACATTTCAGTCTGCACAAGCGTACAGCATTAAAGGCCTGTGGAGCCATATGTTGTGTATTTACTCTCATTTATGGAAAGTAACTCTACACGACCAAATGCAGAACAAATCAAAGGCTCAGTGGTTCATAATTTTATCTGCAACAAAACTGAGCAAACATCAGCAGCGACCTCTGCTGAACACTACAATGCACAGTATATTCATTTACACATTTAAGGGGGGGGGGGTTAAAATAAACTACAAAAAGACAAAAAAAATGCACATTTGAGTGTTTTTTCCTCTATAAGAGCGTTCAGTTTGTTTATATTTTGGCAAATCTTTATTTGTTTTATCATAAATAAAAGCAGCCCGACACAGTCTGCACTAAACTTGCTCGCAGGAGCTTAGAGAAACGACAACAACTTGTTTTTTATCTTGCAAACACAAACACCGGCGTGTGCACGAAGGATGGCTGAGGCGAACAAGTTTCAGGTCGGACAGTGAAGAACCGGTTCGGGGCTGGCGCCTTCATCAGTCCTGAGCCACAAGACTTGGGAGCTCAGAGACGAGAACACCTTCCAACAACCACTCGGTCCCGTTACATTTACATTTAAGGCCAGTTTGTGTCGTTTAAATCGAAAAGCTAAGGGGAAAATCACTGTATGGGGTGTTTTTGAAAGAGTGCCCAGTCTGCTAACTAGCATCGCTGCTAACTAGCCGAACAGCCTTCACGCTCAGCCTCCAGAGAGCCGGTAAAAGACCAGAGAAGCTCAAAACTGCACATATTGATGCGTCAAAATGAAAACTTTCAAACATCTGCGGTTGATTTTTGAAGAGCTAACCGCTGGACACAGCTAGGAGAGTGACATGCGGCCGGACCATGTATGAATGAGCCTCGCAAAGCTGCCCCCAACGCGCCAGCGCCAATCATTCAGGTTCCGGGGCGCAGCATCTTCCTGCACATTCAGTTGTCCTCCGGTCCAGCACAAAAGCTCCAGACTCGGAGCAGGCAACGGGCACTTAGCGGCTAAAATACCCCGCGACACCGACACTTTACCCCCGTACACAGAAACACGCCGGCTGCGGGGGTGACACAAACCCCCCACAGCGCGGAAAAGAGTGCGAAACTGAGAGGAGCTCGGCGTTGATAAAGCTCATACTCACCTCGGTTTCTACCGAAGCCATGGTGCCTGGACGTAAGCTCCGCCCACTCCGCCCGCTGACGTCACATTTATTGATCCGCAATCAGAAACGCCACACCTTGGATTGGAAGCTGCAAAGGTGCTTTACAAATAAAAATGGTAACTTTTATGAGACATTGATGCGGGGTGACAAACTTTAACTAAACTTAAAGTTTTGATGGATAAATTCCACATAAGATGTCAAAGATTTTCCTAAAATTTCTGTTGTTTATCGATGCCACCTTAAAATAAACAATTTAGGCTAGTGTAAACTGACCCGGCTTAAAGCTACCATTATTCATTCATTCATCTATTCATTAATTTTTATACAAAGCCTAATTAACTTAGAATTAATGGGAAAAAAACGTATATAACAATAACCATCTTCATGCTTCTAAAACAGAAATACAGTTAATACAGTATTTTGATTTTTTTTTTTTTCATTCAACCTTTATTTAGACATCCTGATGCATGCTCAATAATCCAGGTAGAAAAATCCCAAAAAGTTCAATCTGGTCCTCTGGACATTCAAAAAAACAAAACAAAGCAAAACAAGAAACGTTTCGTCTCTCATCCGAGAGACTTCCTCAGTCTGAGGTGCTGTATTCAGCTCAGTCTCTTAAATAGCACCTTCTCAGAGTGGATCAACCAGTTTTACTGCTGACAACCAAAACCAGCTGCTCACATGCTCAAGAAGGACCATCAGCCTAACAATGGATCATTAGCACACTGATGGCTGTTTACTGTTCACAGAGGGCTGAGTGATACTAGCAATCACAGCATTGTAAGAGGGGG